CCTTTTTTGGAACACCCTGCTGCTTCTTATATATATATATTGAAGCATATAGGCATTAACTGCCGCGGAATCAATAAACCAGTAGAAAATAGGAAGCCAGGTTCGATAGATGATTCTATGGCTAGTATATGCTGCGCGGTACTGATTTGCTAGGTCCACTCCATTCATATTATGATTATAATCATCTATAACGGCAGGAATTTTCAATCTCTTTTGTGGCTGACCTTCAAAGATCTTCCATACAACTTTAGCATTTGTTGAGAGCTCTCCAGGCCGCTTTCGAGTACACTCAATAAAGGTGTCCAATGAATGAATTGTAGTCAGTGCCCATACCATATTATTATCTTGCCAGGCAAGACAGAGAACATTCTCATTCTCAATGGCATGCAGAGTATTCCATGGAATAGCTGCTGTATGCTCTCTAAGTTCAGATAGAAGAGATGGAGCCTGATTTGGTTGAGTAGTTCCACAACCACCATATTCCTTCTCACGTAGTAATTTGAATAAAGCAATGGAGGTAAAGTAGTTGTCAAGGTAAACTGAGTAAGGAGTTACTTGCTGGATGGCAGGGATTTCATTGCTTATAGAGGATTTGATGGTGAACTCAGAAGGCGGCTCTGTGGGTGATTTGATGACAGGCTCAGTAGACAGCTCAGTAGATGACGGCTCAGTAGTCAATATAGGGACTGTAGGAAGTCGTTGAAGAAGATTCATCACCATAGATCCTGTTCTTGTAATTCCTGGGAATTGATACATAGGCATTATACCCTGCCGACGGCTAGACCAGGAAAAAGTCCATATATATCCATGTTCTGCTAGGCCAAATATCTTATAACCTCGTGGAATTGGTTTATTAGGCATTTTATAGGTGTGTTGACTTCGTCCAAAGCATTTAATCATGATCTCATCCACTGAAATCTTTGAACCAGGTGTGTAATATTTTCGGCAGGCAGTATGGAATTCTGTGGCTAAAGGCTCTACCTTATACCACCAATCCTTATTTTGAGTTTCTGGCCGGCGTGCCTCACGGGGATTTGATATATGAATATACCGCTTTATTTGCTCGAAACGGGTGCAACTCATATATTTTTGTATGGAATGAATAGGGCCTTGTTCCAGATTATTTCTCCAATATAGATCAGTTCGGCAGAATCTATGAGCTCCCATATAGAGAAGAAGGCCTATAAAACCTTCATTTCTGCTGCATTGGTATTTTTGAAGGACCATTGGTGAAAAGGTTTGAAGGTAGTAGAGGTTGTAGTTGAAGATTCTTGATTTTCAGATAATAATGAAGTTGATTCTATATCAACTTCTGCCTCAGAGAGCTCCGGAGCTTCATTATCAGTGTCTCCATCATCTCTTTTCAATTTTGCATAGAGATTAGTGGACTTGCTGATATTTTGAAAGCTTTCCTCAGAGAAAAATAAGGTAAATAGAGCATAGGGACTATCAATATCAACATTGACAGGAAGATTGAGAACTGAATCTTGCAAAAGAGGCTGCATTGGATGGAATTTTATTGACTCCAAGGATGGAATCTCTGCAATGATATCCTCAATTGCTTGTTTTCATTTCTTAGATGTTTTTGTATGACCTGGAGAATAAATCAATTAGCTGACCCATAAGATTTAATTTTTATATGAAGTATTACCACTGGGTTTGATAGGTTTTTTGGTGGATTCCACGTTGGTGGGTGGATTTCATGAAGAGAAGGAACTGAGAGGCATGCAGGTTGGCAGCTTAAAAATCACGTTGAATTCCATACACGTCTGTCAGCTTGATGAGAAATCACGAATCCGTGGATTTAAATGACCAATGATCATCCTTGTAAAATTATATGAGATCTTATTGGTTACTGAATGGCGCCGGTGCAAAATTCCATACACTAATTGAAATCACGCTAATTGAGCAAGAACTTACGGACGAGGGGATACGATCAACTTCAAACCCTTCAGTCGACCGTGCTCGGTGCAATACAGTTTCTCAAAACCTCGAACCGAACCTTAAAAGATTCTCCTAAATAATAGCTGATCAACGTTATTTCGAGCATCAAAAACCCAAATCATATCTATAACAGGAGCCCAAAATGTTGTGTCCACCGTAGTGCAAAAGAATTACTATCTGCCAATGACTGAAAATCGCCAAGGTTGAATCCTAATTCGATACATCGTTGAAGAGACTCCTCGAGTGGTTATTCCGAAATTCGTTCAGAGCACACAGTAATTATTGGGTAAGTACTACAGCAGAAGTGACTCACACCAAACGGTCGAGGTTCCTGTTACATATTGCCTACTGCCATTTCAGGCATTGGTTTTTGGGATTATTATGCTCCTCCCGTTGCCCTCTTACCCTACTCCGGTCGTTTAAGCAGAGCCCAAGCCTGAACCATAATCAGCCCGATTTTAACATATGAATATCTTTGAGGTGTTAATAAGCCGCATAAATCTAGGTTATATCAGCTTGGCCTGTACTCAATTCGGTTCTGATAAACGGAATATCCATTGAGCCGATATCCGGTAAGCAAATCTGGACCTAGACAAGGAAGCCCAGAGTCTGGCTTCCTCATCTCTTCCCTTTTGACGACAAAGTGGAATGCTAATCTGGGACAAGTCACTCGGTTGCCGTCCTCGTAGGAGAGGAATCTGGAGATGAGCACGAATCAGGAGACGAGAAGGAAGCAGAAGAAGTGAAGGAGTCAGGAGAAGTGCAGGACAATACAGAAAAAGATCAAAACCGGGCAGTGACGCCGAGGAATAGATAGGTGTATAATAAAATTATTATTAGGAAGTTGGGTTTTCGGCATCATGGAAATCATACCAAAGGGATTCCGGACTGCAAAAGGAGGTGGAGAAGTTCTAGAAATATAATGACGATATGATCCTGAGGTCGATAGGGTGTCAATCAGAGCCAGCATCCAAATACATCCAATAAGCTCAAGCTTAATTTGACCCAATTACAATCCATGTTTTCACTTCTTTCAGCTATGTTGCAGGTTCTCTGTCCTTTTTCGCATATTTGGGCTGCAGATCTATGCGGATAACGCAGTTAGAACTCTACATGTATTCAGGGATTACGGTCTCCCTACTCCTGAGATTAAAACTAGGCTATGCTCCTCTTCTTTTCTCATTCGAATCTACGAGTCTATATTTGGGTTCTTACATCACCCGGAGGCAATTGAGGATGCTGGACGACACAGGCATTAGCCTCGCCATTTTTATTGAACATTACCAAATCAGGACGTTAAGGCAAAGTCTCATAGCTCACCATGAGAGAACAGGTTTATGTTTTCTATTTCTTTCCCACCAACCCATTTTTTCCTGCTTTCAATTCGTTTACACACTGAGAATGCAGCTTTTTCACAAAATAGGTGGAGCATCCACTTTCTCCCATCGTATTATTCTTCTGTTCCTGCCGTTCTGCGCTGTCTTTTCGACTGATGAGGTGAGAAAAACTGCGATTTCAACAAACGGGATAGGTTGCCGACTTGTTGCAAATGGGCTGAATCGCCATAATTACCCTCTTCAAAGGGCTAATGGAAAAGAAAATTCATGGTTCACTAATGACACCCGAAGCGATACTCCACGTATTTCTTTGGGTCCGCCTTTTGGTGAGCTTTTGGGTGTCACCCATATAGACAATCCGGCAACTTAGTGAAGTAGTACCAGTTGCTCATAAACTAATATATCGCGAACAAGAGATACATGCCATCAACCTATCAACGACTTTCAGGCTCAGGTGCTGAAAGTCCCTCAACATCGATGTATATACATCGTCGACAAATGTATTTTTCTGCAGTATTTATCAATTGCAGTCGAAAGCCGAAACCTGATCTCCAGGCGCGAGTGAGATCCATCTCAATTTCTAGAGAGAATGTTGTTATTATTATTTCAGCCTCTCGAGCCGAGAATGACGTCCAAATTCCCCCGCTACAGGGTCAAAAGTCACAATTGAACCTCCGTCCATCCGTAGATAGAACACTGCTCACTGTAAATAAAGCTCCCACCCTTGAAGGATCCATTGGGGTATTACCGTATGAGGGCATTTCATGCCGTGAACTGGGATTTTATTGACTCTATGCAGATGCCGTCTATCTGATCCTCGTCATTCAGATGTGTTCCATCAGATCACGTATCTCGAACATTGACGAAGGCATCATAAACTCACAACCACGTCTTATCCCAGTTTTCCGTTAATATCGAGATTCCTTTTTTCACGCCATGTATTTTTCCAACAATTTATTTTCTACGACCGCGTATCCCCCCAACTTTTATGTTTTTATTGCGTTCGCACCTGAGTTTCACTATTCAGTACCTGGACCAGTAGTACTGACTTTGCCCCCCGTTTTTCATTGCCTTTAACAATATATAATCTTGGAAGGAAGGGCATGAGATATTCAACCAAGTTTGATTTTTTAACTACTAAATCTTTCATTTGCATTCTCCATTCCAACGGCTGTTTCATTTCCTGATTTAGCTGTTATTTCAATAACATCACATCCAATTTAATAAGAGATATATTATCAGTAGGATTTATAGAAGAATGGATCTTCTGACTCAAACTGATAAATTTGTCTGTTAAAATTCTATAGTCTTGCTGTCAACGTGAACGGTGCTCAGACAGAAGATTCATTGGGCTACAAGCTCACGTCGATAGCTGCGTAGAAGCCTTACGACATACAGTGTCTCTATATTCAATTTCAATTCCATCAGGATTAAACATAGACAAACAAGTCTTTTTGAACTATTTCTTACTATTCCCGACTCGGCCATCCAATGCAATCACCGACAGCAAAATCGATAACGTAGATCGCCGGATTCAAACTCATTCAGGGGGTTTTGGGTTTTGATGAAACGCGATGGGATCGGGAGTTCCGATGGGAGTTCCATTGAGTATCCCGCCGTCTTAATAAGAATCGTTCTGCGGTTTTGAACAAGAATTCAAAAAATGTCTGAACCTGGCCAGCTATCGTCATTGGGCGAGACAAGAGCTTCCTATATCAATTATGTCTCCATAATATCTTGCAACGGAGCTGGCCTGCTGTTGATGTTTTCGTCCTGTATGTGGGCACGAGTAGGCGTTTTCAAAGACACGGAAACTTTCGACAGAAGGCCTGGCTTATTGAACCCATGTTCGCCACCGCCCTGGTGATAGCCCTCTGAAACACTGTTGCCCATTCTCGCCCTAGCCTCTCTGTACATTCGTTCCACGGCAGCAACCTCCTCTTCCACATCTAACTGGCAGTCTTGCAGGCAGAACTCTCGCTCACGCTGTTCCATATGTTCTCGAATATCACGCCACACGTGTTCCAAGTCTTTTTCTCGATCAGCGACACCGGACGCCTTGAGATAGGTTAAAATTGCCGCCATGATGGTATTTATGGCACCAAATGCAGTGACAAGTTTGTGAGATGCACTCGCGGCACCAATAGCCGTCAAAGCGGAAGCAACGATGATTTGGATGGCTAAACAGGTATTTATGAGGATGCTGAAGACTCGGTAACGGAAACTTGATCTCTGCTCGTATCGTAGGACCCGGGCATATATCCCCATGTTAGGTGCAGAACGGCGGTGGAAAAATCCATGTGTTATAAGAGCGGGAACACCATCGATGCCGGTCAGAGCACGAAAGATGAGAAGCTTGTCGTTGGCTGGTATTAGGGAGTGGGACTGCAAGGGGATCCGCAACGCTTCATGCCCACTATTCCCCATCTCCTGCCCTTCAGGAGATTGAGAGAGGATTGGCGGATAGCCCTTCTCCTCCTGATCGAGGACAGCTGGAAACGCTCGCTTCAAGACGGTCGGCATCTCTGGGTGACTGATTGTGTGTGGTCATCGTAAAGAATGAGTACTGATCTCGACCATCGATGGGGAGAGTCAAAGTACAAGATGGAAAGAAAAGTGTCAAGTGTCACAAGGAGTCGAGGATGCATCGACTCCATTTCAAACAGTTTCTTTTCCCTACTGCTTCTTCCGTTCTCGACGGGAACTTTGTGGCGGCCTGGATGGGTATTTTGACGAAGGCTGAATAAACTACGTGTTGTGCTACCCACATCGACACACTATCGGCAATGTCGAGAGCTCTCAAAATTCCGATTGAGACACAAGGGCCACTGTCCTGGCCCCTTTTCACCACCAGTGGAGTAAATATGGTGTGGTTGGCTAGCGTTGCCGATCGAGGCTGCAAGGAGCGAACTATGTGCATGAAGAAAAACAGGCTCCCCAGTTAAGAGGACAGCTGCCGCCTGATGATACAAGCACCCTAGGAGTCGATGGGCAATCAAGTGCCGATATCACTTTGTTCCATGTCTTTTCCTTCGGTTTCTATCAGTACTCTGCAAACCTGAGGATGGATCAGAGCCGAGTTTATGCTTAGATTTGAGGAGATTTATTCACCAATCAGAGGGAGATGTCAAACACCGGGATGAAGACAAGCGGGAGCGAACTAGTTATGGAGGGTCATGGATAGTTAAAAGATTCAGCAGCCAGCGCGATGGAAGCTAAAAGTTAGCCGTAACCAAAAGTTAGACGAATCAACGAGCTGGACTCTTACAGCAATTTTCTTACCCCCAGGTCCATTTACCATGCATAGCGTTCTTTATGAGCTTTTATTGTTTTATCACCAGGTCTCTCTTGTTCTAGGAGCTGACTGAGCATTCTGACTACCCTGATACATTAATAGTTATGTGGTAGTTTTGGCGATCGGGTAAAAACCTGGGCAAATTTGGGATACGAGGGATGCTGCCCAACGTTGTTTGAATGCCGAGGCTACACCAAAATGTGGCATGCCGGGAGCTCTAGCAGTTGTTTGACCATCACTAGGAGAAGCAATAGTTGGAAAAACATGGCACTGCTGAGGATGGGCATTACTCCTTTATATATTCTGGTATTTCCAAAGAGTGCTTAAAAATACAAATAAAAATAAAAATAATATCAGTTGACGTAAACAGAAGCGCGAGAAGCTGCAGTTGGCAAGAAAATCCAGACTTAAAAGCTGAGGATAATCGTCCCACCTGCATGCCACTGTTGGAAGGGTCCCGAGTGAGTTCTGGAAGAGATCTCGATTGTCGCTGCTCATCCATAAATTTTTCCTTGTTTGCCGAAATTCGAAACGAGAATTACCGTGATAGCGTTGCAATCCAGGGGAAAAACTGTAGATAGTTAGGGCTAGACAGATGCCTCTGAATAATCGAGTAATTAATTACTATCCCTTCAGATTCCGACGGATTGCAACCCCACGAAAACTGTGCAATGTCTGAGAAGCGGAGTTCCCGTCGTTTAAGTCCGCCAAGTTGACTGGGAAGACCCTAGCCTGATGTGTGATGATTTGGAGCCGGTGATGTGAGGAATGGATGGCGGAGGAGTTGCATCAGCGAATGGGATTCATCATGGTTTGTTAACTTCGATTGCTAGTCTTAACCTTCTCCCCACCTTTCGCATGGATATTGCGGTTTTTCTATAAGAGTGGTCAGAGAATCTTCCACGTCGAGGCCTGCCGTCTCATGAATCGTGACGGTGTAGTCAGTCTGATGTACGTTCCAAGCCGCTTTCACGCTGCTGGACGTCATGATTCGCCGTGTCATAAAGGCTTCTGGGCTTAACATCACCCAGCTTTACCAATCATAAACACTATGGCCGCCTGTCCTTCTTGATGCAAGACCAGCCAACATGTGGAAGGAGTTCCAGCAGCAGGGTTAGGTTTTGAATTATTTATCCCCTTTTTAAGCACGACGAAAATCCGATTAACAAGGTCCCGATCATAAGCAACTGCTAGGACCAGGGATAAAAAGCTTGCTGATTATGGATGGGCCGCCCAATGACTAGCTTGGGCGATGAGGGGCCCGCTCAAGCATCTTCTCAATCGATTTCCTTGTCATGGATAAGACCTCTCGAACACATTTTGATCACGGTCCGAGGCGGTCGCAGCAAGCCACAGTTGGTGATTAAGATCTCTGATTGGAAGCAGTATCATGCATGTTGCTGGATCGGCAACATTTTCCAGTCGTCCCTTCGAATCAGAGCTCAGACCAGATTCTGCTTCCTGGATGCCATTCTATGGATTAGTTTTTCCCGTTCGGACGCCTTTTCGGCTCTCACTACTTCTTCTATCCCAGTGTTTAAAAATTTGCAGCAGCGGTGCTTGTGTGATACGCGCAAACAAATTCGTCTTTTTCGCGGTGTCTTGTTGGACAAACTCTTGTAACCCCTTTTGCTCTTCCCGCATGAGGTCCACCATTCGGAGCTAGCTAAAGGTTAATTGTTCACCTGTATTTCTTTTGCTCACTGCCAAACGTTGAACAGCTGGCTCGGCAGCTGTTGTGGAAGCAACGGCTTTCATATATCTCCGACCGAAATGCCCACGGTATCTCAACCCGACTATTACGAAGTACTTTGAACTTCTTCCTGCTTGCCTCAGCCAACAGTGCATTACTTCGGTCGACGGGTGAACCAGTGTTGTCTGTCTCTCTTGTCTTCCTTCCATCAACGGATTATCGCCGTTTCTGCTGTGCAGAGACAGGTGGATGTGAAGTTTGATTTATTATTCCTTTCCTTCGAAATGCACGATATCGATTGAACTCCTATCATCATAATGTTATTTTTGTCCCTGGCATTATCGATTCTCTTTGCTCGTGCAGGATTCGGACTCCAGGTCACAGAAGGCTCTCCATGTGAAGATAAATGTCTCAAACCCGCACGAAACACAACACCGGATGATATCGTTTGTCGAGATTTTGAGTTCGATGAACGACCTGGCTCCAATTTCCAAGAGTGTGTGAAGTGTGAATTGAAGAGCCCCTACTCTCGTTTACGAACTTTTGAACAGTTTGATACGGATGTTAAATGGGGACTGTGTATGTTCAAGCAACATCTACTTGCCAATATACAATATTTGTCCCTGACAGTTTCTAGATAACCTTCGCTATGCCTTCTCAAGTTGTGTATTCGGTTATCCAGAGGAAAAGGCACAGGCTTTGTCCACTCCGTGCCAGGTGGCGTGTGACTCCCTTGGGCCTGCCATCAAGCGCAATTTGGTTGACCCAGGGCCCTCAAACATGCATGATTTCTGTGGAATGAAAGTTTTCGACGACGGCATCATCACTAAATGTGCTTCATGCTTTAACTTGACTGACAGTGAGAAATATATGGCTAACTGTATGATGTCCATCCTTCTAATACAATTAAATTGAGGTCCTTGAACTGACAAGAAGAATTCTCTAGTCATCGAAGCAATACGCCAGGGCTGCCACGCAAATCTCCCCAACAATGTACCTTTTATTATTGATTCCGATAGAATATTCAAAGCCAAACTTCTGCCACCAAAATTCAAATTCCCCAGAGTCGAATACCCGGCAAAACCAAAATCCCAAGTCAAAAACCTCGTCCTCATCATCGTCTTTTCCATCCTTGGATTCCTCTTATTGATGGTATGTGCTTGCGCCGGATGTATATTCTATATCTGCCGTCGCCGGCGCAAGGCGAAGAGAAGAAACCAGCCTACCTATTTGCACGAGCGGTGGGACGACACAAGCATAGTGTCACCAGTGCACCGTCAGTTACGCAGAAGCTGGGGAGAACCTTCCCCATACCAGCCGGAATTTACGGGACCGTACGCGGAATACGGCAATCAAAACTATGCGTATACCAATGAAGCTCACCAAGATATCAAGTATCCCGTAGAAGCATATGCGATGGATTCGCACCCATCCACAACGCCACAATTCGCAACGGTATCGCCCAAGTCTAAATTATCCTCGCCTATATTATCTGCGGCCCCTCCGCCACGGAAATCAACGAATGGCTGATTGGGTGTTCGAACCCTACTTTCCACTCTCTTCGAAAAACAAACGATCGGATGCTGGCTTTGTTTGATGTGACGTTTTTCGATATATATTGAGAGGAACTACTCGTTTTGCCTAATTCTAGATTGGATAGCAAGGTTCTTCCTCCCAATTGTTGCCTGGGGCTTCGGGATTTTTTCCCCTTAGTGTCCTCGCAACCATTCTAAGTTGGCTAACTACTTTTTACTGTTTCCAGTATATCCTGTCTTTGGACCGGTTTGTTGCCCTCTTGCTTGTTTTTTACCAACGAATCATTTTCCATTTGTATAAGTTGCTAGTTTATACCCATCCTTTTGTATATTTTCTTTGTCCTTGGATCCCGCTGAACGATTCTTTACTCTTTTTTTTGCGCCTCTAAGAGTCGGTGACTCGGTAGCGCCCCATCTGTCTCACTGTTTGAACAGCTAGAGCATAACCTTGGAACACTAGACTTTATCCCAATTTGACCACAAACACGGAGCTGGGAGTATATATGAATGGATGATTTAGTAATAAGAGATGAATTATGTATGCTTTCAGAGATCTTATCACAAACTCTTATGTCAATGAAGCTCAACCGATATCAGTTTACTTGCCCACTTCAACTGTTAGAGGGTTCGATTCGATCTAATCTGACTAAATCAGATCGGAAATGAGATTCCTCTCTAACAAGCTACTAGAATGGTAATTGTTGTACTCGTCTTTAATCTGGATATGCTCTGTATGCGTGTACTCAGGGGTAAACTTCACATGGGTTGGGGCTAGCGGTAACTTAACCTTGAAACTCACTGGGCGAGTCCGATGGGGGCGCTTATTTTAAACTACGACCAGCCGCTTGTTTGCTTACTTTGCACCCACCTCAACGGCCAACGGTAATAGAACCTCTGGACACTGAACAGCTGCGATCTTCTGCGCGCAATTCCACGCAACACTAACTCTGTACACCAACGAAGAAGAAAGAATAGAAACGTAACTACCTTTTAGTCGCCATGGCATCTATATCCCCCGACCAGCTAAAAGTCCTCGAACAAACCCGCCAACGCCTCGTCCAGCTAACCCAATCCCTCGCCTCATTCATCAACAACATAAACCAAAGCGACCCGCTCCCGTCCTGGTAAGCAATACACCATCCAGTAATGGAAAAGCAAAAGGCCTAAATGGAAAACTCTTTCATGTAACAGGTCCTCCCTCCAATCTCAAGCCACCATAATCTCCAACAACCTCCTCAACGTCTCCCAACAACTTACAGACCACCACGACCTTTTTGCATCGCTGGTCGCCTACCCCACCCCTCAGTTTCCCGGCCGCACCGAAGCATCCATGCTTTCTCAGTTATTACGTACAAAACTCGAACCCCGCGTCGAGGACTGGGTCTTCCAGGGACTTTCCATGGGAAATGCAGATGCCACGAGGCTCAGGACGGGGCTGACGGAGCATCAGCTGGCGGAACTCTGGCAGTGGGCGCCTATCGAGGCGAATATGGAGGCGAGGAGGAGGAATTGGGGTGGCAATTATACCCTGGAAGAAAAGGAGATGGGGGTTAAGAATGTCGTGACTGGGTTGCGGAGGAATCTGAGTGAGGAGGAGAGCGGGAGTGAGAGTGGGAGTGAAGAGGGTGAAGGACTTGAGGGGGCAGGCATGGAGGTTGTGAGCATGCAGAGACGGCCGGGTGGTAGTGGGGTTCAGTTCGAGATTTCGAGTGCGGGACATGGGCCACCTGCGCAGTTGTCAACTGCACTATCGTTGGAAGATGTGTTTAGGTTCATGATGACGGGAGCGGCCCCAAGGGGTCGTTAATGTTATTTTTTTGGGAAGCCGGAGGATGCCTATGTTTCTTTTGGATGTCTACGTCCAAGGGTAGTAGTGTATATCACATAGTATGGTGCATACACGAGAAGAGATCACGTGTCCTGCATAAGAGGTACGTTCTGACAAAATCTATTGCACCTTTTCCCATATAATTCTATAAATGACTTATTATCTTACCACAATATCTAACAATAACGCTCATTGTTTTATATAAGATTAAGTCTCTGGAAATTATCGAACCATTCTAAGTTGCCATTAAATGGTCACGGTTTTTTGATACTATCTTCCGAGTGGAAAGTATCACAGAATAAATAACGAAGACGAAAAGGGTAAACCTGTCCTTAATCAATAGGCATGTTATAGCCCATCCCGTTTCTTGTGGTTGAGCCCTTTCAAGAAGAACCCGGGGAGATGCCTGAACTGTTAGCACCAGGGATCTGAACTTCCTTCATCCTCTAATTTTTTGATTTTCGGTTGTTTGGCTGGAGCGGTAACCGGGCTTTTCCAATAGTATATCATTTGCAAGGCTAGAGTCAGGTTAAGGGAAAACCCAGCCAAAAAGTTATAAAGGATGAGCTTATCGTTAACCTCCTGGAGCGTCGTGAAAATGCGCGAAATGGAACCTAAAAGGTAACCGAATACCTAAAGATGGGGGACACATCAGCAATTGGACGCGTATTGAGAAATCGCATATTATACAGGTTGTGGGTTGGGGGAAGAGAAAATTCATCCACACACCGCAACTGCGCTTAGCTGTCCAGTACCGCCTTGCTTCCACACGGTCACAATCTGCGGTACTTTGCTCGACATCCCCAGCAGTCCTGTCCCCGCCTGCAAATACCCCATCATCGTCTGATCCACTATAGTTTCACCGCTAAGTAACAACGCATAGACAACGCCTGCAACGGCAACGACAAATGCGGCAGCTCCCGCAGGATGACCAGAAAACGAGAGCACCAGAACGCCAATCACGACGTCCTGCACAGCGACCAGTGCAGACTCGCCATAGGTGCTGAAGGGGAACTTCTGGCGCGTATTATATGAGAGTATGATCAGCAGACTTGTCGTCTCGAGCGCGTAGGAGGTAAAGGATATACCCGCTGAGGACCGGGAGGAAAGGATTTTCAAGATCTGTGGAACTTTGACAATGGAGCTCAATGAGACAATGGCTATGCCTAGGAATTTGGAGATGGCTAGACGCACACAGGCTGGGTCTGAGGTGACGTCAAGCGAGATGAGGGTTGTGTAGCAGTGTTCGCCAAGAAGAGACACGAAGATATCGGAAATATGTTCAGGAAGGATTAAGGTGATGGGCTTGAGATATGATTGCAATGGGGTGAGGAGGTTCGTTTGGAGAGTTTGTTGGAGAGACTCCATAGCTGCTCCTGGGACTGATGCTTTTGTCTGGCTATCGTGATTGTTGTTGTTGTGACGTGGTAGAGGACGTATGTTGCTGATCTCTTGAAAATTGCAGATAAATAGTTACCGTGGATTTCATTCTCAACCCAAGGCCATATCTATACACATATCACCACGATTCCTAAACATACAGAATGTTTTCCGTTAATCTCAAGTTATCCCTGAACCCTTCGCACACATCTCCTCTCATCAATAATGATACAGATAAGAAGTTGTGACAAGAATTCATGGAGGACAACGTTGCTTGTGTATTATGAAATAGCTAGCCGAAATCTAAACCATCCCCTCGTCCGGAGACGTTGCCCCTTCTAACACAAGTTTCAAGTAGTGAACATTACTTCCAAGGGCTAATTGACTCACACCAAGTACATCACAAATGTTGTGTATGACACATCTATTGGCTCACAATACCCACTCTTAACCCTAACTCTTCAACACATGAAAACACGAACACGTTCTTAGCTTCTCTATTACCAAATTCCCTATCAAAGAACCACGGAATCCAGTTATCACCCACCACTCAGACAGCATGGAACCAACAAAGAAAAAAGCTTCTAAGCTTTTGAGAAAGCTCCAGGTAAATTCCTAGCTTATTAATATGATGTATAAGCTGTTTCACTAACTTAGCTCAATTAGATTCTACTAAACACCCTCAAAAACACAAGTTGAAAAAAATTATAGCTAATATATCATCATTGAAATCAGTCAAATGAACTTCGATGAAGTCTATATATCAAGCTTCTATTCTCAATTCACCTTCTAACATCAATATCAAAAACTCATATGTCTAATTTACTCGATATCTCAGAGAAAGGCTGCTAGGTGGCACGAGGCCGTTGGAAACTAGAGGACGTGAGTTCAAATCCCATGGTGAGCCAAAATCCCACAGTGGAACATCCGATGAGATAACATTTAAAATTTGGGCAGGTTAGCTGGCTTACATCTGATTGGTACCTTTGATACCATCAATTACGCTAGCTATGAGTCTATATAAATTGCCACCATCTCTACCTAGATATCATGTATCTAGTTTTAGAATTAGTCACTTTTCATCTTTCTATCAGGTTTCAACTGGTTATAGTTTTCTCTATTAGTTATAAAAGTATATTTTCACAACTTACAACTTAAAAATATATTTAAACTTTATACCATGAATTCATCATAATTACCTAAATATATATAAGTAGTTGTTAATAAAATATAATTAATTAAATAATTCTTTAGATATTATTATAACTTTTAATAATTTTATATAAATATTATTAAATAGAAATTTATTTATAAAATTTAATTTTATTTATAAATAATCAAGTTTAAGTAAATTAAATAATATTTTAATATATTTATCTTATAATAAATTTAAAAAAAAATTGATAATATAAAGTAGTATTTTTAAATTTATATACTATTTATTAAAATATTTTATTTCTGATTTTATTTTTTATACAATAAATTATAATTTTACTTCTTTGATAAAAAATAATATATACATAAAAAATAATAAGTTTATGAAGTAAAACTATAATACTTATCTTTTAACTTTAAAAATAAAGTTATCTATAATCTTCTTTTAATAATGTTATTAATGTCGCAGTCATGGGACATTGCCAGGGCACCTTATCTTGTCAAGACGCTTTCTTGGCACCGCTGCCTCCTCTCAGTGATATTCATACTTCCCCGCCTATATCCAAGGTGGTTGTATAGACATTGCTACGAAGGCCTTGAGAATCACATCGCCAATGACGCCTAGAAGGCGCCCTTTTCTCTTCCCCCCTAAATCAAGAAGAACGGCATCTCATCATATTTATTAAAGAATGGAAGCTTGATAGAAGCTCTATATAGATATTTATCTGATCCAATGTTAAGAAGATCAGCGATTCTTTCTTGATATATCAGAGTTACTGAAATGCGCATACAATTTTTTATACAATCACTTGTATACTCTACTCTTAGTTGCCTCTTCTATTCGTAGGCATACGCTCGTTTGCATCCTAACAAGTCAAGCCCCCGTTCGGCTTCCCATTTAACCAACTCTACGTGACATTGCTGTTGACACCTTGACTCAGCACCGCCTCATTACAATTTATTAAGTATTAAAAAATATATAAATATTTTATTTAAACAAAATTAAATTTATAATAATAAATAATTAAATAACTTTTTAAAATTCAAATAGTAGTTTAATAGAGAATTTAAATTTAATATCAATAAAAAAAAACTGATATTTACATGATGAAATTTTATAAAAAATTTCTTAATAAATATTATAATTTATTTTAAAATTAATTTTATAAGAAATTCAAATTTTTTTATTTATTCTAATATTCAATTAAATATTCTTTTACTAGAAAATTAATTATTAAAAAGTTTTATACTATTTAATTCATATTAATAACTATTTTATCTTAGTTTTTTTATTAAACTATTTTCAATTAGAGCTTTAAAATTTATAAAATTATTAAATTTAAGTAGCTTTTATCTCTACTAACTAATTATATAAACATTTAATCTTTAAAATTTTATAAAATACTTTATAAGAATGATTCACTTGCTTTACTCACTTTTCATACTTGAGATGATTTCTATATTCATTAGTCTAATGCATCATTGATCATATAATGAATAAAATGAATATCAGCTTACTGACAACTGCATCATCTCAATAAAATATTTGAATATAAATATATAATATTATTAATATTTTTCTTTTAAAATATATATAGTCAATTACTATGATATCTATTTAATTAAACTAGAAGTAAAATAAATATATATATATAAAAAGAATAGTGATAATTAATTTTAAAAAATAGAAAAAATAATTGAGTTAAATAAAAGAAAATTAATATAAAAAATAATAAAAAAGTAATAATAGATAAAAAATTATAAAATATAATATAAATTTTAAATTTTCAATATTTATTAATAGTATATCATTAGTTCAAAGTTTTATTAGAGTTTAAAAATTTACTTTCTAGAGATAGTTTTCATTTCTTCTAGAAAATCAACTAAAAATTTTATTTTTAATTTAGTATTAAAAAATACATTAAACTGATTTATGAAATGTTTTAATTTCATTCTAGATTAATCAAGAACATCATTAAAATATGATTTAAATTTTCAACTATGTCATAGAAATCATATTTATTTAAGTTTATAAAAAATCAAAAAATCAGATTCAAAATGCTGTTTTCAAAGCTCAGTTAATTTCTCAAATTTCAATTCAAAAATTATATCATTTGACAGCTCCTGTCAAATCTAATTGGTCTTTAAAATTTTCATAAGATTTAAACAAAAATTGAGAATGTGATTGATAAAAATATACTTTTTTCTGAAAAGTATAAAATCATCAAAAGTTTTTATCAACTCGCAATGCTTATCTAAATAGTATGAAAATTGAATTCAAAAAAAATTGAGTCTCAGAGAATAAGTTCATCAATTATCAAAATATTTCATATACTCATTATTGATAATATTCATATTTTATCTCACATTGAGAATCAGTATTTTTTTAAAATTCAGCACTTTAGAATCAGCACTTTCTGAAGAATAAAATCAACACTTTGTGAAGAATAAGATTACTACATCACTAATTTCTCATTTCATGAAAGACTAGAAATAAAGTTTATTATTACTCATTTATATAAACACTCTGAATTTCTTCAAAAAATTCAGTGATTAGCTACTATTTAATTTTACATTTATATTTTTATTCATTGCTATTTTTTTTCTTTATAGCACTTGCAGTGTCTATACTTTTATTCTCTTATAATACTAGTTATAGTGCTTCTCACACTGTTAGAGAATGAATGAGAGCTGCATAAGAAAGGATTCTCTGCGTTGCTAACTGCTATATAATGAAATACTTAGCTTGGTGAGAGAAAGGAGGTGCCGGGATATGAGCAATCCACAAGATCACATGATGGGGGATAAATCTAATCCGCAGGATCATGTCATGGGGGATAATGTTGATTGGATACTACGGCTACCCTATCACATGGCCCCACCATTTTATGTTACTCTCGCTTAGCTAGCACTTAATACACTCAACAACATTATCCTCCTACAGATAAACTGTGGGATGGTCTAACTAATATACGCGATGTCACGTGCGGTTGGGGCGGCTGCCCGGGCCACATGCCCAACACCCCTATCTCTATCCTAGAACCTAACTGAAACATGCTATATACAAAATACTTAAAACACTGCTGTGCCTAAAGGCTAATCCTGTCCACCACCTTTTCCTTCGTGGGAATGCAGTTGGTTTGTTAGATTGAACACTAGATTCATTGATTGTCACTATCGCGTCTCCATAATCATGAGGTTGGATGATGTGATTGATCACTTTGAACACATGATGGACATCATTTTTAGAATTTCATTTAACAATCTTATAGATAGAGCTTTGTGGTATACAAATCACAGTAAATATGGCACCATTCAGAGCATGGATGATGAAATATGACAGAGTGGTTGAGAATAGTTCAAATGTGAAGTCTTTGTAAAGGGTTAAGCTCTAAGAACTAGAGGCTAGTCCTCCTATATAACAAGGACGAATTGCTTGAGAAAGGGAAGAAAAGAATGAGATGAGAACTTGAGCTTAAGCAAGCTCACGTAGCATGATCATGTGCACATGTGCAAATGATGACTAGGCTGAGTCAGCCAGCCAGAGCAAATCTAGAGGTTTAACCCCTTATAATACCTCTCTTCTCCCTCTTTGTTGCAGGTCTTTACAACTATTTAAAGTCCACTTTACATCTAATTTTATCTGCTGAGAGGCCTCCCAAGTGTTCAAGGTCTTTGCTTCTTGTAGAAGACTCATGTCATTTCATATAGGCTCAGTTCAACCTACCCATTTAATAAGGTATTGTTTTTTTCTCTGATAGATTCATTTACTCTGAATTTCCTCAATCTCAAACTCAGGTCCTTTCAGAGTCTCTATAGTGAGTGACTGTCAG